GATCCAGTTCAGGCAAGACATTAAGTCAGCAGTTGCTTCTGGGTGCTCTTGCCTAAGAGCTATTTAAGACACGTGCTTAAAGGGACCCCCCCCTTTCCCCGGTCAGCTGTTTCTCAGCTTCTTCTGCATACTTGCCTACCTATTCAAGGGACAGCAAAGCATTTGCAGCACATGCTCTGGTTGCCCTGCTTCAGGACACCACAGCACTACCTGCTATGGAGCTGGAGCTGTCTCTAGGCGCGTGATGACCCCACACAGTCATGCTGCAGTTTCTTCAGCAGTTTATGTAGGCAGAAACTTCATGGCTCTGCATGAGCTTGACTCCAAGCTTATCTTCAAGACCCTCTCTGCCTGTATGCAGGAGCAAGGCCCTTGCAGCTGCACCCCTTGGTGGAAAGAAGGTTCTGGAGGCAGGACACCAGTTCTGACTGGTAGGATCGGCTGGTGATGGAGCAGTGGAATGACCGGCAGTGGCTGCAGGATTAGGAAGGTCACCTTCATGGAGCTGTGTCCCTGGCTTGCCCCTGGCTTCCATCGACGGATCACCCAGATGCGACCTACCATCCTCCTGGAGAAGTGGGTCACCATCGCTATCTGGAAGCTTGCCTCTCCAGACAGTTACTGGTCTGTGGGCAACCAGTTCAGCGTGGGAAAGTCCACCGTTGGGGCCATCCTCATGGAGGTAAGGCACTCTTGGGCTGCAGTCTCTGGAGGAGGTGGGGAGGGGAGTGGGCTTCATAGGGGGTGGTTCCTGGGGTGTTTGTGGGGGGGAGGTGAGAAATGACTCAGGGACCTCCCAAGGGCTGAGGCACCCTCTTTGACTCTCTGTTTTGTGTCTTTGACTCCTCCTGCAGATGGTGAGGGGCATAAACCCATCTTGCTACGCAGGGTCATCCACCTGGGAGACCTAGAACTCATCGTGGCCGGCTTTGCCACCCTGGGCTTCCCCAACTGCAGGGGGGCCATAGATGGAACCCACATCCCCATCCAGGCCCCAGAACATCGGACAGTTCATGGACATTTTCATCAGGTGGTTGGGGAAGGCGCACGACGCCCGCATGTTCAGAAACTCCAGCCTCTACCAGAAGCTAGAGGCTGGCACGTTCTTCCCCCAGCATGACTACAGGTTCAGGGACATGGAGATGCCACTGTGCATTGTGGGGGATGCAGCCTACCCTTCGTGCCATGGCTGATGAAGCCCTACACCGGCCACATACACCCAAGCAGAGACCGTTTCAATGCCTGCCTGGGCAGGGCCCACATCCAGGCCGAATGCACCTTTGGCCACTTGAAGGCGAGGTTCAGGTGCCTCCTAATCCACCTCAATGTGGGGGAGCACATCTCCAGGGCAGCCTATTGTGTTCTCCACTACATTGTGAAGAGCAAGAGGGAGACCTTCCTTTCAAGGTGGGGGGAGGGGCAGAGGCTAGCCAGGTGGGAAGGGCCTTTGAGCAGCGGCACACAGCTGCCATCCACCAGGCCCCTTAGGTGGGGGTTCGCATCTGGGAGATCCTTAGGGAGAGTTTCTCTGAAGGACCCCAGTAACTCTCCCCAGGGCCTTGCCCCTCTATGCCGTCCCCAGAAAATCCCTTCCCTACCACCTTCCCTGTAGATACAATAAAAATTCCAGTCTTGTTTTTAAAAACATTTATTTTTTTCAAAAAAGTAACTGGTGAGGAGGGGGGCTGAGAACCTGGATATGGGAGTGAGGAGGGGGTCAGATCTAGGGCTAAAAGTGGCACATGGTGGAACTAGAAGTTCCCCCTTGTGTCTGGAGACCCGGAGGAGGGGGGTTCAGGGACAACAGGGGGATAGTCTGGAGTGGGGTCAAGCATGGCATGTGGGCAGAGGCAGGCATGGCCAGAGGAGGAGTGCCTGGAGCAGGGACAGGAGCAGGGACTGGGACAGTGGCACAGATGTTGCGGCCCTGCTGCACCATCTTGGTACACATTTGGGCCCACCATTGAACATTGTGGTGGACCTTCTGGGCCAGTGCCTGATGAATATCCTGGAGGATGGCCACATGCTCCCTCATAAGGTCCTCATGGACCTTCCAACACCAGTGGCTTCCTCACAGTCAAGTGGCTGGTTCCCCTGGTGGTGATCACCTCACAGTCATGGCTGGTCTGGTTGGGGAGAATAAAGAAAGTGAGGTGTCAGTCATCCCCGGAGACATTGTCCCTGAGGCCTTGCCCTCATCAGTGAGCTGAGAGCAATAGTCCTTGGCCCAGAGGACGATGATATCCTGGGAGCAAGGCCATGTATGGCCTGGACAGCGGGCCCTGCCTCACAGGGACCCAGAGGTACCCAGAGGACCATGCTTCCCACCCCCCTTTCTCCTGCCCCATCCCACAGACCAGCAGGCAAAGGAAGTGTCCAGCCACACTGGGATTCCATGGGAGGAAGAGGAACCTTGGGCAGTCTTGGCTTCCATCGGGGCCGCACACACACCTGTGCCTGACAGCGCTGTCCCCAGGATCAGGTGGTGTCTAAAGCATGCAAGCATGCCCATGTGGTGTGTGCAGCGCTCCAGAGTCTGTGTGCAGGCGTGCATGTGCCCTTGTCCCCAGCCTCCTTCCAGTGGTGTCTGGTGGTGGGAGGGCATCCCCCCCCCCAGAATCAGAAGTGTGTCTGGCCTCCCTAGAGCCTGTGAGCAGGAGCCTGGAGGTGCTCTGGGGCTGCGTGGCACAGACTAGCACTGCACGTGCATCCACATGCACAGACTGCAGTGAGAGGGCCAGGCCAAGAAGGCCGAGCAATGATTGCACCAAAGCCCCTGAGCACTCACCACCCTGCCCTGTGTGTATGTGAAAAACTAAGAGCACTCACCTGCTGATCCCTCCCTGGCCTCGGAGGATGCTTGGGAGACATCCAGACCCTGGGGTACTGGCTCTAGGGTGATGGTGGTCACCGTGCTGGCCATCTCTTCCTCCTCCTCCAGCTCGCCATCCTCCTCCTCCTGGGCTGGGACCTCTGGGGGGGCAACGATAGGCATCTCCAGCCCTGAGTCCACCACCAGGGGTGGGGAAGGGGCTGCACCGCTCCCCAGGAGTGCAGTTCCACATAGTAGGGGCAGGAGTGGTGTTTTGCACTGGAGAGAGAACTGTGCTCCCTGGCCCTGGCGTAGCCCTGCCGGAGCTCCTTCACCTTGCTCTAGACTGCGGAGGTAGCCCTTCATGGCCAGGATCTTGGCCATCCAGCCTCATATGTCCGCATACCTGTGTCTGGAGTGGAGATCCTGGAGAGTCTCCTCGTCCCATACCTCCAGGAGGGCCAGGATCTCCACCCCAAACCAGGATGGCGCATGTCTTTTCCTGTCCCCGGCAGGCTCCTGGGAGCCCTCTGCATGCTCCCTGGGATGGGCAAGGGTCTCTTCAGGGGCTTGAGGCTGGGACATGGGAGCCCATAAGCTCCCAGGGCCAGCTTCCTGCCACAAGCCTTGTCCCAGGTGTCTGTAGCTTTAAGAGCTTCCAGGAGACAGGAACTATAGAGTTGTGATGAGTGTGGATGGAGCGACTAGTAGGGCACCTGTGTTATTTCCTGGAGGCCTCTTTTTTCAACAGAACTCCCTCTTCCACGTCCACACATGCCTTTTTCTGAAAAAGCGTTATTCCTTATAGAATGAGGTTTACTGCTGTCGGAAAATCCCCCCGTTATTTCAACTTTTTGTTGAAATAACGCAATTGCTGTGTGGATGCGAGTATTGTTTTTCCAGAATAACTGCCATTATTTCAGAAAAACGCTGCAGTGTATACGTACCCTTAGAGTGAAAGGCATATTGAAATTTAATTTGCTTGACTGTGTAAGTTACACAGGTGGATTCTTCCACTGGAAATATAGAATAAAATAGCCCAAAAGTTAGGATGAGAAAGAAATAGTTAATGATTCTAGCTTAAACTAAGTTTTGTTTTGATATACCTATATGTTTGCTAAGTATTAGTTTCTCTGAAAGTCTTATTGTTTGTTTTTTTCCAACCCCGTTTCAAGTTCCCTGTTTCTATTTTTGCAGCCTTTTATATGGCCCAATAATAGAATTAGACTCTAAATAGAATTTCTCTGTACCTAGTTTTTTCTGCCTGTCAGAGAGTGGTTTATTTTAAACAGCTATAGGGATATAATGGAGGGAAGGATCTAACATGGCAACCTTGGAAGCACATTAATCAATATTCAGAGAGGAAACCAGGTGATATTTTTTATCCATGAAGAACTTAAAGTACTTAAATTACATTTCAATCGGGTGGCAGCAAGAAGTATAATGATCAGACCCTCTAATAAAGGAGCTTCTATGTTGTACTACATGGCTGTCTGATGAAATAGAAGCCAGAGGTAATCATAAAACAACAAAACTGGATATAATATTTGAGATGTGACTATACCATTGATCTATACAAAGCCCATAGTTATATTTTTATGAACCAGTGTATAGCCTGTACCAGACCAGTCATAAATAGTAGTGTTCTGTTCCCTTTTTGTGTTCTCTCTATGTTGCCATATAAACATTTCATTTTTGAATGGAGGGATTATGCTATTTCATGTCAGGCAGTCATCATCTCTGTAAGTGTTTATATGGCCTTCATCACTGTTGCATCTGATCACCTCACAAATATTAATGAATGAATTTATCTTCACAACTCTGTGAAGTATGGAATTGTATCCCTATTACCAAAAAAAGACCAAAAAAAGTTAAGCCATTTGCCCAATGTCTCATGCTGACTGCAGTAGAATTGGTGATCTCAGAACCAGAAGTGAAAGTAAGAGGGTGTGCCCTGGTGTACAGCTCCAACAAGAGCTGGCTGAGCTGTGGCAAAAGCCAGCAGGGAGCTATTTAAAGAGCTGGCAGGGACCCAGGTTGCAATACGACAGTACCTGTAAGAAATTTTAAGTTACTTTTCACTGCTGCTCTGAACTGAACCGAAAGCACCTGAATCCAAATCTGGTGCCTTAATCCTCAAAACCATCCTTCACTTCTCTCCGTGATGGCACAAATAAATCATGAAAATATCATCCCAGCCCTTCTCCTTAAATTTATTTTAAAGGTGTAATTGTGTTGGTTAAACTGTCTTACAGTTGTTGTATCTTAACTGCTATTAAGAAATCTTTGATCTCATTAAAGAAAATAGTAATTCAAACAACATCATACATAACCAAATTAAAGATGCTCTCAATCATGTGGGAATGAATTCTGACCTCAGATACACAATTTCTATTCCAGTTATCTTCAGTGCAAGTTGCATGAGAGTATCTCAAGGCAGAATTTGGTCCCAAATTAAATAATATCACAGACCCTAAAATTAATAGTTAGCTAGGTGCAAGTGATCACTGTCTGGCCAGAACATTAAGTGCAAATAGATTATTCCTGACTAGAAATAAATATATATATAATTGGCATTGTAAAAGGGTGCATTTCCTCAAGATGAAAATAATTTTATGCAAAAGTGATTCGGAGGGAAAAACTGAACAAAAAATGTGAATGATAATTGGAAGTTTTGCAAAAATATTTTATTATTTGTTCAAAAATACCACAAGTCTGTAATAATGAGAAATGTATTTCACTTAAAAATTCATCCTGGTTAAGAAGAGAAATGGGAAAAAGGGAAAGTTGATAATAATGACTGAGTTATGAAATGCAGATGATTGTTAAAGCTAAAGATATCAATGAAAATTATGTCCAGTAAGCATAAAGACAATAAGGAATTATTTAAATATATCAGGAACAAAATAAAATGCATATATGGTAAAGATGCATCGCTAGATGGAGACAGTAAAATTGTCAGTAATGGTGCTGAAAAATGGAATTGTTTAATAAATATTTCTATTCTGTATTTTAAAAGAAGTTGGATAATTGTGTTCATGTCTTGCACCTTAATAAAGTCTCCAGTTTTTCAGAACTGCTCAGTATCCTACATCTGCATTTTTCTCAGAAGACATATTAATAGACCACTTGGAAAAACTGGTCATGTTCTTAGGTGTCTGACGAGGGTCTGGGCGCTTTTGAAAATCTAGCCCTTGGTGTCTGGCCTACAGGAAAGGTTTAAGTCTGACAGTTGATAGATATTTTCCTCAACTCATTGGCAAGAGGCCTGGATATAAAGAGCAGGAATTCCTAAGCAGTCTCTTCCCTGTTTTGTGTATGTGCAGTTTAGTTGATAACCATTGTGCCTGCCGTAAAAGTATATTGCCACAAACGTATTACTGAAAGATTTTATATCTAGCTTTATGGTTGCTACATGTACCTTGTCAAAAGGGGAAATGTAAATAAATTACACAAAATGGTTCCTCTTTATCTTCTAACTTATTTATCTTCTCAAATGAGTCTAGTGTGTCTTACTGGCAATATTTACTCTTGAATAACAGTGCTGATTTGTTCCTGTCAGAGTATATTTATCCAGTTAGTTTATGAATGTGTTTTTTGTGATGCTCTAAGGTAATTTCCCCTACTAAAAAAAAGTTAAAAGTTGTGCAGTTGCCAAAGTTGTTCTTTTTTCCTTTTTGTTTTAAAAGATAGGCACCAGAATGTCCCCCTTCCAATCCTGTAAGATGATTCCTGTAAGATGATTCCTGTTTCTAAAGATGTAGTACATATTTCAGTTAGTAATTATGTTTTAATACTTAATAGAGTTATTTGAAAAATGCAAAAAGTTCACCAAAATGCTTAATTTTTTGTATTATTTTCATTGAAAACTTTTCAATTAATGTCATTTAATCAAATTTAGTTCATCCTTCAGCTACTAATTTTTTTGTTTATTTTAGTTGCTTTGAAATTCTAGCATGAATAGCATCAGCGCTAGGGATTTTCTACTACTTTATATTCTGTAGTTACTCAAACCAATAGTACTGCTCACAATCACTATCTCTAATGTCTTGTCTTACTAAAGTAACTATCTCCTCCGTCCTCACCAGCAAAGATATGGAATATTCATTTTCCCCATTAAAGCCTCTTCTGCTAGCCCTTTCTCCTCTTAATAGTCAGGTGTTAAATACCTATAGATTAACCTGCAAGAAAGATGCTCTACTTTTCATAATTTTAATCTCTTATCATTTGTCTTGATTTCTTTGACTACTAGCCCTTCACATCTTATATTTGTTCTTATTACCACGCTTGCATTTTTCCACTCTTCCATTTTGTTATGTAAGCACTTCTTTTTACATTGTGTGCTCAGCTCAGAACACTAACATTCTGCAAGGCATAGAAATCCAAATATTGAGTTATGCTTAACTTGTGTGTGTCATATGGTGGGGGAAATTTCTGATCTTTGTTCTGTCAGGATCCCATACTCTGCAATGAACGTCTGTCTTGAAACAGTTCCTTACAAATCTTCTGCCTTTGCAAGAGTCAGTATGGAAGGATTTAGGTTTTTTTAAATTCCCAAAATTGCATTTTCCAACCTCCTTCATGATTGCAACTGTGCTCTTCTTCCTTCAACCACCGCTCTGTAAGCCATGTGAATCTACTATTGCCTGGCTGCCCATGTATAGTCCCCCTGATTCTTTGGTACCGGCCACTGTTCGGGTATGTCTAGACTACATGGCTCTGTCGCCAGAGCCCTGTAAATTAGTTTACTAGACATACTCAAATGAAGCG